CTCCTGGACTATAGGCTAAAATTGGTCCAGAGCAGTGAGAGGAGGCTTCTTCTTGGATATTCTGCCAGCACTAACTGTGTGTGTGTGGATGTTGTGATTCAAGTGTGAGCTGGAACTCTGTCTCCTGAGCCAAAACCTCAGCTCTATCACAAGGAGGCCACTGGGCAGCTCTAGGCAAGTCCACAAGCCTCAACTTTCTCTGTTTTGAAAGGGGCAAGCAAAAGAAAGTGCATCGTTAAACTGTGGAACTTCCTTGTGCAGGAGGCAGCGATGGCCACCAACTTGCACTATCTCCCATGGGACAGCCCTTTACTACAGACAAGGTACACATCATACAATTAAAGCACATGAGCTTCCTCCAATGAATTCTACGGGTTGTAGTTAACCCCCCGTAGATCAACAACGCCCAGTACCCTTAAACTACAGTTCCCAGAATTCCTTGGGTGGGTGAGTGCATACTGTGTAAATGCATGTTGTGGGTGCACAGCCAATGTCATTCCCTAGCCTCAGCTGCCCCGCTTTGTAAAATGGGCATAAAGAGAGAGCTGCTTCACAGGCTATTTATAAAGAGGAGAAAATGCTGCAGTTGCCAATCGCTACTATGTTGACAGCACCTTTCATCTGCATTCCTGAAACATAACTATTTTGAGTGGATGCTTTTTATTTATTTTTTAAAAAGAGCAAAATCCAATATGTGTCAACTGCAACCGTTTTTCATGCCTGGGGGCCTCCTGGCTTCTCAACTCTGTGCAAAAGGGAAAGGGGTAACTATTGAAGGTCGGCTGATGGTGTATGAATATCCGAAAGACTCCTGTGATGTTTGTACAGTTTTACAATTATTGGCAAGCTAATCTCCCCTTGCTTCTCCCTTTTTTCTATTTTGAGGGCTTGGCTGGGAGCCCAGTGTGATCAGAGTTTTTGCGGAAATCAAGGGCTGGAATAAAATGATGCAACTGTGGAGGTTTCCATGGGCAGCGAGCTGGCTTTGGTTTGCAAAACACACATCCTCGTGCAGCACAGGATGTGGGAGACCAGGAAGTTCGCTGAGCAAATAATTTGTCCTTAACCCCACTGGTTTACGGACTGAGTTTCGGGGACTCCTGTGGTTCCTCCGAATAGGGCTGGTGGCAGGGGTCAGAATCATTGGGCATCCGCCAGTGCCCACACCCTTGGAGGGGGCGGCCTTGGCTGAACCTCAGAACATCCTGGCTCGGCCGCTGCTTAACCTTGCTATCACTGCCTGTTTACCTGGCCTTTCGTTGGAGTCACTGTTGTAGCACAATAGTTAAAACACTGATCTGTGTACTGGGAAGTTCCAGGTTTGATTGTTTTCTGTCTCTTTAGCCAAGCCATTCTCTGCACCACCATTGGCTCTCACTACTTGCTCCCCAACACAATCTGTAGTATGGAGAATAACAATATTGAATTCCCTGATGGGCTAATTTCATTAGTCTGTTTATTGTTGGCCCGCCCCATACTTGAGGGTTCTGTTCTGGGGCTCCGTACGCAAAGGCAAAATTTTGCAAAGTCAGGAACCGCTGTCCTGAGAGGTGGAGGTTTGCATACTGGCCTCCAAGAAGGACGCACAAGGACTTTGTAAGTTCCCAAGACCCTCTTGCAACTTTCCCAGAGCTGGGTGCACAGGTAAGGAAAAAAATAAATAAATGGAGAGCAGGGGACAATGGGCTTCTCCCGCTCTCCATTTACTTACTTATTCATTCCTCCCTCCCACATAAGGTTGCCATTGTGTACATAAATTGAGCGTAAGTTCTGGACCCACTGTATTTGCAAAAAAATTCTCTGCCGCCAAAGCTAATTAAAAAATGATTACAGCAGAGTATAGCATGAAATCATGAATTATTATAATTTTATCCCGCCTTTCCCTCACACTGGGATTCAAGGCAGCTTACACAAATTAAAACAACTCAAGTAAAATAGGAAAGCTAGAAACAGAAAAAAGACAATAAGTTAAAAAGTAATTGAACTCTGAAACAATTAAAACAATATAAAAAACACATCTATTTTAAAATATAGATTGTAAAAACAGCACAACACTATTTTAAAAAATCAGTCAGTTCCCAAAAGCCCACAGGAATATAACCTGCCAGTGGAAGGACAGCAAGGAAGGAGCCAGTCTATCTTCTCTAGGAAGGGAGTTCCAAAGTTGTCTGGGAGCAGCCACCGAGAAGGCCCTATTCTGCATCCCCACTAAGCGTGCCTGTGAAGGTGGCAGGATTGAGAGAAGGGCCTCCCACAGTAAAATCAGAGCCTGGGCAGGTTCTTCTTGGAGATTACGGTCCTTCAAATAGCTTGGGCTTAAGCTTTGCAGAGTCTGAATCTTGCCTCTGCCTAGTCAAGTCATTCTCCTTCTCTTTACCTCCTCCTCCCCCAATCTGCAATATGGAAAATAATAATCTTGCACTCCTTGATGGTCTCATTTATTTAGTGCATTTATTTATTGATGTGTTTGGAAAAAAAAACTGCACTGCCAAAGTTAAGAAAAAGGACATAGTGGCAGTGAACAGCATGAAAACAAGAATAAAATTGCTTTCATAAAACAAGTCAGGAAATCCATCAGCAGATCAGTTTTATACATCTGCATAGCTGGAGTGCTCCTCGGGGGGCGGGGGGAGCCTGGGCAGTTAGGTGAGGTCTAAGCTGGTGCATAAATGCCAAAATTGTAAGTACTTCTCTGATACTTTCCCTCAACTGTTGGAGGCAGTATGCCCCTGAATACCAGTTGTTGGGAATCACAGGTAGGAAAAATTTCTGTTGCATTCATATCCAGCTTTCAAACTTCCCATAAGAGGTTGTCCACTTTAAGGATGCTGGACTTAGATAGGTGGCTGGCCTGATCCAGCAGGGCTCTTGATACCAAATAGTTAAACTGGGGAATTCATGGCCGCAAGATGTAATGACCACCAATTTAGACGGCTTCCAAAGGATGTCTGCTAGCTGCAACGGTTGCATTCTACCTCCATTTGCCATAGGCAGCAATGCTGAATACCAGTTACTGGAAGCTGCAGGAGGAGAGAGGGCTCTTGTGCTCAGATCCTGCTAGCGGGCCTCGTATTGAAGCATATGGGTGGCCACTATGAGAACAGGATGCTGGGTTGGATGGGCCTTTGGCCTGATAAAACGGGGAGAAGCTTGCAGGGATGGCATCAGGGTGGAGACTTCCATTCCGCTCACATTTGAATGCGTACCTTTCCTGAGCCAATTTCCCAAACTGAGGTGCCACTCTTCTTTGAAATGCATGCTTCTCCGAGGTTTGCAATGAAGTTCTTTGGCCAAAATAAAATAAATGTACACAAAGTGTGTATATTAGTGGGGGGGAAGTAGCATACCATATGCATTGCATTAGGGGTACTAGCTTGCAAAATAATGTGTATATTTGTGTGCAGAAATGCACACATTAGGACAAATGCATGCAGACTTTAGAAATTTTTTCAAAGGGATGCAGAAATGAGGCAAATTGGATTTGAGATTGGAAAAGGGGGGAACTGAGAGAAAATGACAGATTTGTTCATCTTTAGTAAGTCAGAAGAGCCCTGAAGCAGGATCAGTCCAGTGGCCCATCTACTCTAGCATCCTGTTCTCACAGTGGCCACCCAGATACCCCAATGAGAAGCCTGCAAGCAATGGTATCAGGTTTTCGGATGCTTGTCTAGACCTGCAATTCAACTCATTGAAGGTGTCTTGGCAAGGATTCTGTAATTCAAGGTCTACACTGCTTTCAGACTTCACTGTGGCTTGGGGTGCATGCTTCCCCAGGTATGGTGTGTGACTTTAAGCCACTCCCTTAACAGATGGGATGTGTATGGTTATTTCAACCAAACAGTGTGCTTTTTCAAGGATGTGCTTTGAACATTGTCCAGGAGGGGGAGCTGTCTGCTCAACTGGTGTAGAAAACACCTTTCTGCGCAGATTGGAGAGGGCCCTCTATCCTTAAGAACTTCATCACCTGCAGGGAAGCATTCATTCCCCCTAAGCAGGGTGGAGAAATGCAGGATAAACTCTGTTTTTTATGTGTACCGAAACGCTAAGCAAACCAAAACACAGCTATGCACTTCTTGTTGCAGTTCTCCAACTCCAAAAATATGTCCAAAAATGCATATATTAGAGGAAAGCGTGCCTTAAAATGCATATAAACATGCAGATTAATATAGAAATATGCATTATGTTAGGGGAATTCTGGACCTCTTCATGCAATACATATGGAACTCACTGCCACAGGAGGCAGTGATGGACACCCAACTTGGATGGCTTTAAAAGGGGACTGGACAAATTCATAGAGAAGCCTAGCAATGGCTACTAGCTACGATGACTGTGCTCTGCCTTCAACCATGCTTCTGAATACCACAGTGGGTGGGAGTGCTTGGGTTCTGCTTACTCACGGACTTCCCATTGGGGTATCAGGTTGGCCCTGTGAGAACCGGATGCTGGACATTGGTCTGATCCAGCCAGTTCTTTTTATGTTCTTATACTCAGATGTATTCTGCCCTCTCTATTTAATGCAGTTTCTTGTTTTCTTTTTTTAAAAAAACTGCTACCAAAGACCAGTTTACAATATCAAGCCCCCACCTCAGCTGGAAGTTAGACCTGGCCTCCTTTAGTTACTTCCGGGCTGGATAGCTGCACTGACCTCTATGTGGGGTTGCTGCCGCCTTTGAAAACAGCCTGCAAAAAAAGCACCAACTCGTTCAAAATCAGGCAGCCAGACTTTTATCAGGTGCTGAAGAACTGGAGCACATAATTGCTCCAGCCTCGTTCCAGCTGCATCGGTTTGTTTGTGGGTTCAATTTAAAGCGCTGACCATTGATTGATTGATTGATCCTACCTTCTTTCCCCACCCTCCGCCACCCAAGGAGCTGAAGGTGCTTCTTCCCTTCCTCATTTGATGCCCACAACAAGTACATCCATTGGCTTGCATTTAATGTAGTGCTAATTAACTTGTTTTAAAAGGCAATTAGACAAATTCATGGAGGAGAAGGCTATCAACCCAAGTGGGAGAGCTCAGCTGGTGGAGCATGAGACTCTTAATCTCAGGGTTGTGTTTGTGAGCCCCACTTTGGGCAAATGATTCCTGCATTTCTTGTGTTCCCTTCCAACTCTAGAATTCTGTGATTCTGTGATGGGCTACCAGCCACAGTGGCTATTTTGCACTTCTGCTGTTAGAGGCATTATCATTCTGACTAGAACCAGTGTGGTGTAGTGGTTAGAGTGTTGGACTAGGACCTGGGAGACCAGGGTTCGAATCCCCATTCAGCCATGAAGCTCACTGGGTGTGAACATGGGCCAGTCACAGCCTCTCAGCCTAAACGCCCTCACAGGGTTGTTGTGGAGATTAAATGAGGATGAGGGAGAGCCTTGTACACCACCCCTGAGATCCTAGGGGTGAGAAAGGGTGGAAGAAAAATGCAAAAAATAACCAGTAAATTAAGAAATGCCAGTAGGTGGGAATTTCAAGTGGGCAGAGTGCAGAGTGGGAAGTTCAAGTGGGCAGAATGTTATTGGGCTCCTTTCCAGCTTGCAGGCTTCCTATAGGCATCTGGGTGGCCACTCTGAGAATAGGATGCTGGTTGGAGTGTGGTGCTGATAATACCAAGGTTGCAGGTTCGATCCCCGTATGGGACAGCTGCATAGTTCTGCATTGCAGGGGTTGGACAAGATAATCCTGAGATTCCCTTCCAACTCTACAATTCTATGACAAGGTGAGCTGTTGGCCTGATGCAGCAGGGCTCTTCTTCTGTTTGTACAAGGATTTACACTTTAGCAATGGAACATCCCCCCTCTTCCCGCACCACACAACCAGTAAGTGTGTTCTGGGGGGGGTTCTCCCATCTCTCTAGAGCAGATTTGGGGAGGAATGTGGGGTGGGCGGGCGGGCAGAGTTCTGTTGCACAGGACAGACAAAAGAAAGGACTTCTTCATTCAGTGCATAGTTAAACTATGGAACTCACTTCCACAGGAGGCAGTTATGGCCACCAACCTAGATGACTTTAAAGGAAGACTAAACAAATGAATGGAGAGGACTGTCAAGGGCTACTAGTCATAATGGCTATGTTCTGCCTATATCGTTGGAGGAGGCACTGCTTCTGAATACTGGTTGCTTGAAACCACAGGAGGGGAGAATGCGCCGAGGCTCAAATCCTGCTTGTGTGCTTCCCTTTGGGGCATCTGGTCAGCCACTGTGAGAACAGGATGTTGGACTAAATGGGCCATTGGCCGGATCCAGCAGGACTCTTCTTACGCTCTTAATCAGGTCATGACCATTAACTTCAGCAGGTCTGCTCTGAGTAGGACTAGCAGCGGATACAACCGAGTTACGACAATCAGGTTCTCCCAGAGGAAATTTGGACCTGAGTTCATATTGTTTTGGTTTGCAAGGGGTTAGGTGGGGTGGGCTTAGCAGCCGAGTGAAAAACAAGGCTCAGTCATAGACAGCTCATCTCGTCGTGGCTTCCCCTTCCTAACCACAACCACCTTCCTTCCTCGCTCTCCCGTGGCCTGAGTAGCCTCTGAGTAACCAGTGAGCACACTCTTGAACGCTGATCAAGGCCGTATGGTTCCGGTGACTCACAGAGGATGGGAACCGGGGCTTCGGAAACCCTTATTGTTACACGGACCTCTTCCGCCCAAAGTGGGGCCGTCAACATCCATCTACAGATGTCAAGTCCCAGATGCCTCTCTTCACCCCCCCTCCCCTTCCCCTTCTCTCGGCGGCGTTGCCACAACACTGCTCAAAATGGCAGGATGTCAGAGCGTGATGCGGCTCTTAATTACTTGATAGAAATGGCAAAGAATGTGAAAGAGTGTCATTGCATATCCACACCTTCTTTGCAAGCAAAACGTCCCCCGTTTAACCCCTGGCATCTCCAGGTAGGGCTGGAAGAGACATTCCCTCCCCCCAAAAAAACCTCCCTAACTGAACCCACAGAGAGCTGCTGCCAGTCAGTGTAGACAGCACCCAGCTTGACAGAGCAGCTGTTTGACTAAGTATAAAATAGATTCCTATGTTCTTAGAACACAAGCCCTAATGCCTCTCCTGGCTGGTAGGTGTTTTTGCTGGCTAGTAGCCACCAGCCTGTAAATGCTGGTCATGCTGACACAAGCATTTGCTAGCCGACAAGACCCATTTAGGGCAAGGGCCGTAGCTCAGTGGTAGAGCATCTGCTTTGCATGCAGAAGGCCCCAGTTTCAATCCTGGCACCTGCCAGTCAGTGTAAGCAGTGCTGAGCTAGATGGATCAATAGTCTGATTCAGTACAGTGGTACCTCAGGTTAAGTACTTAATTCGTTCCAGAGGTCCGTACTTAACCTGAAACTGTTCTTAACCTGAAGCACCACTTTAGCTAATGGGGCCTCCTGCTGCCGCCACGCCGCCGGAGCACAATTTCTGTTCTCATCCTGAAGCAAAGTTCTTAACCTGAAACACTATTTCTGGGTTAGCAGAGTCTGTAACCTGAAGTGTAGGTAACCTGAAACGTATGTAACCCGAGGTACCACTGTATAAGACAATTTCCTATGTTCCTGTTTCAGGGACTGGCACCATTGTGGGACAGATATCCCAGTGTTTCTACCCTGTATGTCTCTTTTGTAAGGATTTCTGCTATGTGACTAGCATATGCATCCCATAAAATTGAGGCCCTGGACCAGCTAAAATTAATCATGTCCAAGTCTCATCGAAAGAATAAGTAGCTTGAGTTGCTTTAGTGGCACATGAATCCCACCTAACATTAGTTGGAGTGCAGTCTTAATAATCTACAGTGGTACCTCGGGTTACATATGCTTCAGGTTACATACACTTCAGGTTACAGACTCTGCTAACCCAGAAATAGTACCTCGGGTTAAGTACTTTGCTTCAGGATGAGAACAGAAATTGTGTTCCGGCGGCGCAGCAGCAGCAAGAGGCCCCATTAGCTAAAGTGGTGTTTCAGGTTAATAACGGACCTCCGGAACGAATTAAGTACTTAACCTGAGGTACCACTGTACTTCATATTTATTGTTTTGATTCATATAGAGTTTTATGCAGATTTTACTCAGTTTACTGAGCAAATCTATGCACATGTCTGTTCAATGCACGAGTTCAATAGGAGTAGGGATGGCGGGCAATTGAATTAAGTTTGAACCCTACCTAATTCAGACTTTTCACCGCAATACACAAACTGAAACCCAGCCGCCCTTTGAAATTTGCCCTTCTCCAAACTTCGCAATGCAGTTCTGTGGCCAAGCAATGTGTACAAAAATGCAGATACTGAGGTATAAGTGTGCATAAGGGATATAGTATTCATATGTGAAAAATAGCATGCAGAAATTAAGGAAATCTGCTGGGGGGCAGAGAATATATTAGGCAAAATTGCATATAGGAAATGTATGCATTAGGAGGAAATTTATGGCAGAATGCTGAAATATGGCAAACAATTTAAGAGTGGAAAAATGAGAAACTGAAGTGGACAGATTTCATAGAGTCATAGAATTGTAGAGTTGTAAAGGGACCCCTAGGGTCATCTAGTCCAACCACCTGCAGTGCAGGAATTTGCCCATCCCTACTCCCAAGTAAGCACATATAGGATTGCAACTGCAAAGAGCCAATTGAAACCCATGCAATGAACCAAATGCTGTTTGTTCAATGGTATGGCTGGCCTTGTTCCCGCCCCATTGCGATGCAATCTTTCCCTGGAGAATTCTGCAGTCAGGAACCCTTTTTCTAATGGTTATTATTATTATTATTATTATTATTATTATTATTATTATTACTTTAAAAGTTGCCCTATGGAGACTCTGTCCTTAATGTCTAGCCTAAACTATTCCTTCCCTTTTGCCACTGAGGCTCTTGGCTGTTTATCGTCCTGCCTCCTTCTGAGGCTGTGGATAAATCCCTTCCTTCATTTAGCCTTTTACCTCTGTGTTATTTATAGAACTTCTGATCATCTCTGTCTGCTCTCTCGCTCGCTCCCACAGTCTTTGCATTGCCAGAATGCATCTCAGTGTTCCTGGCTGTGTTTCCCAGGTCTTATGACTGCAGTTACCTGGAGCGTGTCTCTACGTTTGTCTGTCTTAAAAGTCTTTCCAGGCCTTTTCAGCTTCTTGTTTTGTGCATTTGGCTGTTGATCTGTGTCAGCTGTATGCAGAACCTCAGGCACGCAGGCTGAATGTGGCCCTCAGGACCTCTCCACCTGGCCCCTGGCACTTCTAGTCATGGCACACTGCTCATTGGCTCAGCTTAGAACTACTTTGTGACTTGCGCTAAATCAACAGGACTTCACTTAGTCATGGCTGCTTTTCATTTCAACGAAAGATGAGCACAACTACTGTAGCTTAGTTAGATTCATAGAATAATAGAATTGTAGAGTTGGAAGGGACCCCGAGGAGAACTATGCAGCTGTCACATACGGGTATTGAACCTGCAGCCTCAGCATTATCAGCACCATGCTCTAACCAACTGAGCTATCCAGGTTAAGAATATGCCATGAGTATTGACTGACAATTGCACGATCTATTTAGGGCTGCAATGCTTGGTTAATCCTCCAAATTCATCGAGGATAAGACTATCAGTGGCTACTAGTCATAATGGCTATTCTAGCTAGGAATGATGGGAATTGTAGTTCAAAAGCAGCTGGAGACCCAGGTTTGGGAAATCCTAGGTTTGATTAACCCATTAAATAGCTTTTGATTTAAAATGATGCCCTTGATTAAACATATAGCAGGTTGGTTGTTGCTCTGCAAACTTATGGATAGTGGAGACCATCTTAGAAGAGGCATTTCCACTGTTCCCCCAACAAAGACAGAATGCCTTTTTCAACACATCTTAGAAGAGGCTTTTCCCTCAGATGGTAACGCCTCGTCAAAGCTGATGCCTATTGCAATGTGGGTAACCACCTCTGAGAAGAAAGACATGATGTTTTTGTGCTCTTCAGAATGATTGTTTTGTTCATCGGCTGAGATATGCAGTTGCGTTCAATTAATTAACCAAATTAAAGCCCACCCAATTAAGATTTCTTCAGTTGGGTTGCAGCCCTGATTCCAATATTGTGTTGGTTTTGGGAACACCTTCTGTTTTAATAAATTTAAAATGTGGTTCTTACATGTAAATCATGATCTGCCTCTTTAGAATGCAGATGACATCAGTGTTGTTTTAAATTGCTTCAATGTGTTTTCAGAAGATGCAGTTTGGTTCCAGGCTCACTCCTCAAACCATTATAAACATCCTGTATAAACTTCAAGTTTCTAGTCCTTAGTCTTTATTCAAAGCTTTTCCCTTCTCTGCACTTAACACTGACTGACCCCTCTTTCCGAGAGTGTGCCCTCTAAGAGTAATAGTCCTGATTTTGGGTAAGCTTTCTGTTTATATGGGAAGGGATGCATGTAGCTTTGCAATGTAGCTCAGATGCATTTTGTTTGTGACACCCTCGCCCCCATCAGAGATTACTTAGATTGCTTATCAGAGCTACTTGTGTGGGTTTCATTAATCCCTCTGTTATCTTACTTTTGTGGCATCTGTCTGTCTCCGGAGACAAAGGACGAGTTCGTCTTTGGGGGTGAAGTCAAAGTGTTGGAAGTTTGCAGTGCTTGCTATGGCTGTAGAGACTGATAGTGGAGAGACTTTTTGTTTCAGCTGGGGCAGCTGAAGGTATCGGGTTGAATGCAGCACGTATAGGAACATAGGAAGCTGCCTTATACTGACTCCATCTAGCTCAATATAGTTAACACTGACTGGCAGAGACTCTCCAGGGTTTCAGGCAGTGTTCTCTCCCAGCCTTACTTGGAGATGCCATTGCGGGGGTTGAAGCTGGGACCACTTGCATGCAAAGCAGTTTGCTACGGCCAGTCACTTCTGCTCTTACTGATTTCAGTAACCAGAATGAAATGGGTTTAGTCTTAAAGTCCATTATTATTATTATTATTATTATTATTAGTTGCCCACCCTTCATCATAAGGCCCCAGGGCAGGTAACAGCAACTTTAAGTTCAATATTAAAACAGTTTAAAACAAGTTACATTTCTAGGCATAGGGTGTGTACTGAAAATGCTATCTCAGGTTTCAATGACCTGAGATGGTGTCTTTAGCATGCGATGGAAATGATCCAATGAAGGTGCTGGATGCACTTCTGTGGGGAGGAAATTTCACAGCTTCTGGTTTGCCAATAACAGTGCCCACTCCTGGACTCCCCCCCCCCAACTTCTGGGGTGGTGGAACTACCACGAGAGCCCCTTCTGCCAATAGGAAAACCCGAGAGGGTCTGTAAGGAACGAGGCGGTCTTTCAGATATTGGGGACCCAAGTCGTTTAGGGCTTTAAACACTAACATGATAACCTTCAATCAAACTGGCATCCCATGCATCTGTTTTAAAACAGGGGTTCTATTAGTTTTAAACTGAACCCTGGGCAGTAATCTGGTTGCTGCGTTTTGGGGATTACGATTGCTTGGCTCTGGAAATAGGTGATCTGGAGACAGATGTTCCAGGTAGATCACTCTACTTCTAAACAGCATGGGTTGTCTCCAACGTTAGAGTCGACCCGTTGAAATGAATGCACAGGGCGAAATGTAGGTCTGTGAATTTCAGTGGGTCTATTATGAGCAAAACCTAGTTGGCTGCAACTAGGAATGGAGGAAGAATTAGATTTTGTTGGCATTTGAAGGAGAAATCCCCCAGTTTGCACGTCTCAAATCGAAACAGCTATCTGTTGAAATTCGTCCTCCTGTGAATTTTGTGATGATTCCATTCTCCAACCTAGCAGTATGTACAAAAATGCATCTGTGGGCAGTTGTTGGGCACATAAATGCCTACATTACTGAAAATGACACAGACATCCTTTGAAAGTCACACTTTTCTGAATTTTGCAATGCGGTTCTTGAGGCAAGTAATGTGTACAAAAATGCATTATATTAGGGTAAGTGGCTTGCAAAAATGTGTATATTATCAAAACTGCATACAAAGAAATGCATCAGCCCTAAAATGCTGATGAATTTTCATGCGGATTTTTTAATATAAAAACCCCCCAATAATTCACAGTTTGCTGTGGAAATGTGGGGACCTGAATTTAAGACTGGAAGAATGAGATGCTTAGAGGACCAAAACTGACAGATTCTTCCATTCCCTAGATCAAGCCCCAACGTCTCTTTTTCCTCCTCCTCCTTGAAGAAATAGAGAAGCAGGCTGGGAAAAAATTCAATCCATTGGCCTGAACTTAGTAGTATTAAGCATGGGCGTTATTGTCATGAGGTGGCTGAGACCCTGGAGTCACTGGCCCCTTCCTTCCTTTTCGAAACTTAATTTTATATATTAAGGCGGGGGGGGGACACCTTTGCATATAGTTTATTATATGCACAATGCAAACTGCAGTAGTGGTGAAACCCTGGTCACCCACATCTTAATTTCCCGAGGCATCTACACAAAGAAATTAGCATATGAAATGTCTTGGGTCCTGAGTCTTAGCAAAACCTCTAGCATTGTTGGTGTGTGTGTGTCTTTAAAGTCCTAAAGGCTCTTTTGGGAGAAAGGGTGAGATTTTAATGATAATAAATAACAATGGTGATAATGAATGATAATGGTGATGATGAAATTGGCTGGTTTAGCATCATTTTTTGCAATCACTTTTGCTCTTGATTCAATGCATTAAAACATTCCTAAATAGTAGCGTGTAACTGATTGACAAATACACGATCTCAAACAGACGGTTTTGCATTTACACACCATTAAGACGAATGACTTTGCACCTCTAATTGTTTCAAAAGGAATTTGTTCAATTGATAGTTATTCACACACACCTGCCTGTTACGAAATATCCCCCAATAAAGAGGATGGGTCTCATGAATCCTGTGTTCTACTTATTCCAGTGGGTGGCCGATATCAGGCCCAGGGTCCAGGTGTGACTCTCTGGGCTCCTCTGTCTGGCCCTCAGAAGCCCCCCCAGGCAACAGCCCTAACTGATTTTGCTTTGCGTCTTCCTTGAGTGCTTTTGCCTCACTGGAAATGTGTCCTTGAATTCTGCCGTTTGCTTCCTTGGGTGGAGGATAGACAGGAGTGTGTGAGTGCGTGCAGAAACTAGCCTGCGGTACAAAGGTAAAATTTATATCCATTGCTCCACCCACTTTTGGCTCCACCCCCACTGGCATGTGGCCCCTGGGAGGTTGCCCAGAAAGGAACGTGGCCCCCCGGCTGAAAAAGGTTTCCCCATCTCCTACTTATTCCAAAGTAGAACAAACAAGCTCTGCTTTTCAAGAAACCTGCCGCCTTTCGCACTGACTTCTCCCTCGAACCTGAGGCCAGGCGGTTACCAGCTCTGAACGGGTGGTTTCCTGGTGGCCAAACTGATGCCCCTGAAGGGTAGCCCACAAGCAGGACTTGAGCGTGAGAGTAACTCTCCCCGCTTGTGATTTCCAGCAACTGACAGCTTAATGCAGTGCATAAGCTTGCCCTCCCATATGTTCTCTCCCCACAACAACCCTTGGAGGTAGACCACAGCTGGCCCAAGGTCACTGGATGCTCTTCGTGGCCGAGTGAGGATTTGAACCCAGGCCTTCCCTGTCTCAGTCTGACACTTTAACCATTACATCGCAACTCACTTACATTCAGGCTGCTCTCTGTGGTGGTCTTTTTTCCAGATCTCGGTCCACAAGCTACACAGGAGCTTTCTGGGCACCAGGTGTGCAAAAGCACAAGGACCAAAGTCTAACAGAATCAGTGCTGGTGGCCCAGTCCTCTTTTTGTAAGACTGGGTGAAAATAGCTTTGCATTTATAGGCCCCAATTTTCCTTTGCTTGCTCTCTCTAAATGGGGACCCTTAAAAAAAAAACCCAGGACGCACCTTTAACTAGCAAGCTCAGTCTGCAGATAGCCAGGTATTCTGGAATTCAAGATCCCACCTCTCAATGGGACTCTGTTGTAGACGCTTTTTTTAACCGTGGTGATACTTCTCAGGCTGTGGACACACCATTCATTTAAAGCACATTTCTCCCGACTTCCCAAAGAATCCCAGGAATAGACATTTACCCCTCACAGATCTACAGTTCCCAGCACCCTTAACAAATGACAGCTCCCAGGGTTCTTTGAGAGGAGGAAGAGATGTGCTTTAAATGTATGGTGTAAAAAATGGGGCTAACGCTGGCCAGCTTTGCAGGGCCGTTGTGTGGCTGCATGGGACTAACAGAAGCCTTCCTTAAGCCACCACAGTAGTTCTTTACAGGACAGAGTTGAATAAAGCAGCTTTCATGCGCAGTTTGAGGCCACTAAAAAGGTGTGCAATCAGCTGGGAATGTCTCTTCTGCGTGGCCTGCTTGGGGTATGCTTATGGTGTGTGTGTGTGTGTGTGTGTGTGTGTGTGTGTGTGTGTGTGATTGCACTGGAGCACTGCAGTGTTCTTTCCTTTGCACGTCCTCCTCCGTCCCGGCGCGAGGCCATGCCATGCGCAGGTGATGCGCGTGCAACCGAGACAGCCGTTCAAACTGTGGTC